GTTCTATGTTGATTCCATTTTCAAGACCAACTTTTTGATATCGAAACATTAAACCAACTTGATTTATTCTTTCTTCATATAAAGACTCTTTATAATAACTGGAGTCCATTAATGTATATAAATGAGCTGTACCACCAACAATTATACGAGAAATATAATGGGTTCCATATGTTTGAATAAATTGATTATAATATTCTTGATGATCTTCAGTAGACGGATTCGGTGCCTCAGAAACTAATAAACCAACACTTTGATTGAACGTTGGATCTAATCTAACAAAAAAAAACATACAACTTTTATTTAAGTAATAATTATCTCATGTACAAAAGATTTTACTTAAGAGAAAGAGGAGGAGCAAGTTGAACTGAATAAAGACCCCACCATATTGTTGATACTCCTACAGCTTTTTCATTTTTTGTCATGACGTCGTAAATTTGTTTCAATATTCCACTATAACCTAATACAACATTAATGAAACTAGGAATACTGAATCGAATTCCAAATGTTATCGAGTGAAAGTAACTAAACAATACAAAAAAATTCTTAAAGCAAACCTTGTATGATTTAAATAATCATTCTTTTGCTTAATCCTTCAAAAATCCCATAATGAAGTACGTCATATACGAGAATGAGACGCTATTGACACACGTTCACTCGTCGTATATCGACAATGTCTGTGCGAAGGAAGAGTGAATAAATATAGACAAGAATGATACTGGAACTGTCGCCAATATCGACATTTTTTGATTAACAATGATATCTTTTATGGTTTTGTAAGATTTACGTCATATATCACGTTCGCGACTTATATGTGTTAAAGGTGTATGTGAAAATAAATGACGATGGAAGGTCTCCAAATTTTCAATCGCTTTTAAATCGACATTTTTAATATATCTTTTTAGTTCAATCTCACGTTCGCCCTCAGGGACATCAGAAAAGCTGAGTTTCGAATTTCGACTTGAAACTTTGCACAAACATAGATTCAGACGAAAATAGTGTATTTTGAAAGTTTCAGGCTTTCCGATTATTCCTATATGAAAATAAGAACATCGAAATCTGATGGTATAAGAGCGATGTAAACAGCATGCAATGATTACGGCAACATCTTAGGACAGAAACAACAAAAAAGACCTGAAAATTTTCTAATGAACTATGCTCGCTGAGACCTACGTCTATGCAAATTTTCAAGTTGAAATTCGAAACTCGATTTTTCTGATGTCCCTGAGGGCAACCACGGGATTGAGCTAAAAAAGATATCTTAAAAATGCATTTTCTCAGCAGCAGTAAGCTATTAGCCCGAATTATTTTTAGAATATTCATAGCTCATTAGGATCTATATGATGCACATAGTTTCTGCTTCAAAAGCAATTGATCACTTGGAGACCTTCCCTCGTGAGTAACGATCACTTCAATATTTACTATATTGAATGTGGTGACATTACTAGAGAATAATATCGGATTTTTCACTATTACATATGTTACAAAGCGTAAAACCAGAACCAAACATTTTTCTTTGCCTGAGATCGGAATCAATAACGGTTAGCCTCACTGATGACTATGATTAAGTTCAAATTCTACTTCTATATTTCAATATCCTTTTAGATTGTGTTTCAAAAAAAAACAACATTACAATCTATTAATAAAAATAGTTTACCTTTGAAAAAATGATTCAAATGTATAAGCAATTGTTTCACAAGAATCTACTTTTCGAAGACTAATATCGGCTACCTGAACGTCTTTAGGTATTGCAAAAGTTCGATCTTTTCCCTGTATTTCGGTTTTGAATGGAGTTGCCCTTTGTTCACTCAAATCAAAAATACGATATTTTGAATTTTGTTCATTTGCAGAAAGCATTTTAGCTGCATCATAACCAGATGATATATCACTAAGACCAGGTAATTCATCAATACAGTAACTATTCGTAATGAGAAGCAAAAGAATATTGAAAATAAACATCTAAAAGCAGAAACTATACATAATTATTTTATTTTTCAAAATATTGCTATGACTATTTAGTAAACTTAAATAGTATAGGCATATATTTTGATCTTTAATGTATCAACTTAAAATGAATCAATAAACATAACATGAAGTAGCAGATGTAACTGTATTACATGTACGTGTATACCAATAAAATTTAGCTTGAGTTTGACAGAAATTATGTTTTCCCAAAACAGATAATTCAAGATTTTCTAGAACTATACAATTGGTTGCTTTTTTCAAACTTGTTTTCATACCCATTATCATTGTTTCATTAACATATTGACCAACGAAAATTTGTCTATCCTCATTACTTTCGTATATCCATTGTACATCATAACCTGTCTGAATAATGTCCATAAAAAGATCGCTACTATTCCATTGGTATCGACCAGTCAAATTGAATTGTGGACTCCAATCAGTTGGTTTCAATTCACATTTATTTGTTTTAGAATAATAATAACGATTCAGAGGACAGTTTTGTTGATAAGCACACCCTTTTGAACAGCTATAGTAAACTGCTTTGTTCCATTCATGTGGATACGCTCCATTCTTTATTGGACAGACAAAACCCATGCTGGAAGCAATCGAACAAATTAAAAATAATATTGATAATTGAATCTTCATTGTTATCTGAAAGAGAAACTGTATCTATTTACATATCCTTGAATAAAAAGAAACAAATTTAAATCTTATTTACCTTGATTTAGAATTGAAAAATTAAGAAAATAAAGCTAAAAGAATGCAAACAAATGAACAATATCTATAACGATGATAAATAAGATCAATTTTTAAAAAAATTATTAATACTTGGAAAAAAGAAAAGAAGCGATACTGTTTTTTTTCGAATATTTGCTATAGGAATGAATATTAATAACGTATACAACCAGAAAAAACATAGCCAGGAGGCAATTTACATTTCATGGAATAGGGATTTGCTACATTTGTTGCACAAAATGATCTTGTTGTTCGTACTGATAATTGTACATCTCTTACAAGAACGCATTTAGTGTTAAATGATAAAATTGTTTCAGTTCCGACAACGTATGTTTCATTGATATATCGACCCATAAAGTAAAATTGATAAGCCGATGTTACACTTGACCAATTTACAAAAAAATTCGATTGTTGAAAATGTCTGTATTGAGCATATTGTTTTATTTCTTGAGTTCCAGTTAGATCGTGTGCTGGTGACCAATTTAATCCAGTACTTCTACAAGTTCGATCAACAGTTGAATAATATTCCGTTGTTTGTGAACAATATTCAAGACGATCACAATAATTTGTACACGAATAATAAGATCTGTAATCATCAGCGTTTTGAAACGTTCCAGTTCCCTGTGCACAATTATAAGAACTTTCAATAACGTTTATGGTTGTAACGAGTAAAATTAGAGTTTTTATCATATTTTCTTGTTGAATTTGAGACAGTGCCTTCATCAGTTCATATATATATATAGTCCTTTTTTTCTAGGACTCATTTTCTTTTCCTAGCAAGTGACATATTATGCTTCAATGCATCATTTTCTTTATGACAAATATGAAAAATTTCATGTAAATAGCTAGAAGAACTTCATCATGATTAAATTCATTTTGTTTGAATGATTGTTTCTTTTTCTATAACTATGCAAATAGAATTAACATGTTAAAGTTGGTGTAAAGTTTTCCAGCATAAATACACTTTTCTTTCGCAAAAAAACAATATCAGTTTCTTTTTGCTTTTACATTTCAATTTTATTTACCTCTTATTACTTACGCATAAGTCTTTTCATTCTTATGATTATGACCCCAAAAAAAAATATAATCGATTATGCATCCATGGATTAAGAACTATACTAATGTTCATTTAACATATGTTGCATACCAGGTTTCTTTTACAAATCGATCTTTTTCAAAAGAACAATCAAGCGGAATCCAAGCACCCCCGTCATGCAGTAAATATTTGTTATTACAAGATCGGGAGTACATTCGAAATTCGAGAGAGCAATCGTCAGAGATGTGCGAGTTGTCAGTATGGGTATGAGGGTGTGGGGTGTGGGTGCGGGTGTGGGTGTGGGGTGTGGGTGTGGGAGTGGGTGTGGGTGTGTGGTGTGGGTGTGGGTGTGTGGTGTGGGTGTGGGGTGTGTGGGTGTGGGGTGTGTGGGTGTGGGTGTGGTAGTGGCGATAGCTCTTTTCATAATCCACACCCACACCTACACCCACCCACACCCCACACCCCACACCCCACACCCACCCACACCCCACACACCACACCCACCCATACCCTCACCCCACACCCACCCATACCCTCACCCATCCCTTCTTCTTCAATTAGAAATCTCAAATGACGTTGTCGTTCTTGAGGGTGTGGGTGTGTGGGTGTTGGTGTGTGGGTGTGGGTGTGTGGGTGTGGGTGTGAGTATTCCCATCATTCAGATTGATACCCACACCCACACCCACACATTTATAATAATATTGGTCTAACGTATTATGAAATGAATAATTATTCAAAGGCAATTTCATTTTATAAAGAAGCACGTACGATTTGTGAACGAAATCTTCCCCATGAAGAATCTTAATTAGCCACTACTTACAATAATATGACTGTCGCATACAATGCCCTGAATGATCTATCGAATGCGTTGTCATTTTATAAAGAGACATTTTCTCTTCGTGAGAAGAACTCCACTACGAATGATTTACTATTGGCAAATGTTTATAACAGTATCGGATCAATATATCATTCAATGAAAAACTATCAGGAAGCTATTAGTTATTATTAGAAAGCAATGATAATTTAACAAAGTAAATTACCAAAAAATGACTTATCATTATCAATCACGTATAACAACATTGCTGTTGCCTATAAATCCATGGGAGATGATGATAATGCTTTTGTATTATATGAAAAAGTATGATCTACTCGAGAAAATAATCAATCTGCCGTTAACTTATCTTTTTCAGTAATCTATAAAAGTATGGCATCCAACTATCATTCAGAGAAGAACTATTCGGTTGCTGTGAACTTTAATCAGCAAGGGATGGAAATCGAGGAGAAAACACTTGCTCCAGATGATACAAATTTAACAACGACATACAATAATATTGCTGTCACTTATCATTCTATGGGCGACAAAACACATGCTCTATCATTTTATGAAAAGACATTAGCGATTAGAGAAAAAATACTCTCTATCAAAGATCCATCATTAGTTTCAACTTACAATAGTATTGGCTTTCTTTATTCATCTATGGGAAGGAAATCAGATGTTGTTAATTATATTGAGAAATCACTTAATGTTCAAGAAAAATTACCAAATCCTAATCGTCCATTGATGCTTAAGATTCATCTGACTACAGCAAGAATGTATGAAGATCTTAAAGATAATGATGCAGTTCTTAAACATGCAGAGCATTCTCTCACTATCGCACGTTCGATTTTTGACCCTAGTGATATAAACGTAAAATATATTCAAGATTACGTTAACTTACTGCATTCGACCTTATCCTCATGATTGATTGATACTTGTTTTACATAAGAGTACAAGAGTTATTCATTGATCAGTTTTTTGTTGTCTATCTTCTATAAACTTTTGAAAACATCAACATTTTCGCCTACGAATGATATTATACAATTAAATTCAATAAAAGTTCAATTTCTATTACATTTGAATATAATATTATTCAAGTTCATGTTCATCGACTATTATAATTTGAAATGATAACAGAATGCCAGTCAGGATTTTATTATGATGAAATATCTTTGAAATGAATAGTTGAAAACATATTGAATCAGTTCTATATACATATTGTATATACTCGTATGCTCGACCAATTGTCAACATTATACTTTTTCGAGAAAGCCTGTTATCAACGTGTCATAAGATCTTGATTAGGTATCTCGTTGAGAGCTGCTTTAATGCATAAATACTAATCAGGTATCTGTCATGCTGCTATAGTATTCTATGAAACATTTGTGTGAGATAGTAATAGCAAGGTACATTGGATGCGGTGCATTCAATAGCGATTTTTTCTCAATATTTCTATTGTTCAGTATAAAAAAGATTTTCTTTCAACACCTTTTTATCAACGAGAAATATGCATCAACATTCTGTATTATGACTTTTGCATCATACATTATTTGCTTCAATATCCGATTTTTTTCATGTGATAATTTCTTATTGATATTTGAATTCACTAAACATTGAATGCTATACTGGATTGAAACAATCTTTATCCAGCTAAGATCAATATCTTCAATATTGTTGATTCGATCATTTCATGAGGACACATGCAATCGAACATAACGATTGCAACGAACTGTAGCAAACATGGGTTTAATGCACAATCAAAGCTGATTTTATCATGTGGCGTTCATGATGACAAACATTTCCCATCTGATAGAAAATAGAAGTTATAGTAAAGCTCTGAAAAAAATGTGGCTTTAGTAGTTGTAAATTAGTCCAATAATTTAATCGAAGCAATCCTATTGAGTTAAACTGGCATGTTCATCTAACCGAGCAGACTTTTTTGGAGGGTGTTGGTGAGTCTTGTTTAATCTCTATTCGCATTTACATCCACACCTCACCCGTGACCAACTGTCTCCAGACTCATCACAGTCCATGAAAGATATTTTGATATATGATTACTGATTAGATATCATTGGACTCTGATGAAGATACAGCAGCTGCTTCTTCATTGCAGTGCGACCAATTGAATAAGAAATGATGAATAAACGGATTCCAAGATATATCAAATAAAACAATATTCGTGTGACCATTAGCAGTAGCTACATCGTATTTGATATTTTAATCCTGCAGGGATTTTGCTAATAGCTGTTGTTATTCTATCTCGTTTCAAGACTTTTGTTACGTATTAATGTTTTAAAAGCATGAAAAAGTTTAGAAATCAAGTTTTAACCTTAAAGGATTTGTATAAAACATGATCATAGAATGGTGTTGCTGAAGAACTACAAGAAGATTACAATGTTTGGCGGTAAAACACGAGAAAAACACCTAAAAATGAGGAAAAATGACTATAACATAAGGACCAAAAGAGCTGAAACACAAAACAGCAGCCATTACCATTTTAAAACATGTTATTTCCATCAACTTTGTATTGCATGAGACTCAAGTCCGAATTATATTTACCAATTTTTCCCAAAAAAATAGGACTCATTTGACAATATGAGGAAACTTTGGTTTTCAACTGTCGGCATATGCTATTTTATTAGTAAGTTCATCTCAAAATCTGTAGAGTATTTAAAACCACAGATTGATCATATGGAGAGTAGCACATGATTCACATCCGATTCATACCTACCATCACCATCATCACCTAAAAGTTGTATTATAAGCTATTTTAGTCAAAAGGTATGTGGTCCCTTTTTTTCTGATTATAGACCTTTTTATTTGCAATTGGTAAGCATCAATATCAATTGGATGAAACATGTAAAAGCTTTAAGAATAGTGCCATGATATTAGCATTCAATGAAGAATTTTTCAGCGAGTATGTCATGATAATCTTTTTTCGCATTTCTGTATATGACCTACAAGTCAATAAAAATCAGAGCTAGATAAGCCACTCACACTGTTTTATTCCTTCTTTTAGTTCTTTTGGGTGTGGATATGCATATGGACTAACGAAAGGTATGCACCGACATCAATACTCACACCCATATCTAAGATAAAAGAATTCTGAACAATAAACCATTATTTAAGGTAAAAAAAATAGACAGTAGTTTTAAAAATATTTTACAGACAGATCCTAGGCATTCAGTCTAGGAATAAGTCGAAATTCTTAGTCTTTTGTCGACATTGCTGAATTATCATAAGCATCATTCATTGTTGTTTTTATTACAACACCCGATGGAAATATACGCCTTGTATCTGTACCAAATGTTTGCTGAACTTTATTAGTATAAAGTGCATTACAGCCTTCTGGTGATGTTAATTCAATATTATTCTGAACCTTTAACAAATAAAAAAGAAAAACAATTGATTTCATAGTCGTATTTGATTGATAAACAAACTTTTTTTTCCACATAAGCATCATCTGTAAAACCACATCGAAGCCAATCACATATACGTTTAGGTACAGAAAAGCAGCATATATCACTAATAGATATTATTAATTTTGGATCGATTTCATTTGGTTTAACTGGACGAGTTAAATAAGATACAATCATTCCAACAATTCCAACAGCACTAACAACTATTGGTGAATACCACAGATAACTAATAGAATAAAAATCAAGTAATGGATTTGATCTAAACAAAGATAAAGTTATAATTATATTTTAAAATTTCTTCTTCAGTAATCTGACTTGATTGGAATTGTTATTGATTTTGTAATATTAACTGGTACAGGACAATTAGTAATTGATAATGGTAAACGTTTACTTTTCATTTGTGTTTTAGTCATTTGTGCTCCCATAACAATCCATAATTGTAAACAAAGACTTGATAAAAAACCAATAAAACTACCACGACTATTTGCTTTTGGAAAAAAGAAACCAAGAATAAAAATACCCATGATTGGACCAGATAAAACACTAAATAATGATAGTACAGCATTAAGTATGGATCCAAGATAACTCACAATATATGTTAATAACATCACTACACTTCCAAATACAATCGAAAAGATTTTTGATAAAAAACCTTGTCGTTCGTCACTTAATGCTTGTCCTATTCAGTTAGTTTTTTGCTATTTCACGTAATTTATCGAATGAATCAATTAATACTTGATAATCAATACTTACTATTGATGTACCCATACCCTTAAAATCACGAAAAAACATGGTAATTAATCACGATATAACGTAATGATAATCGTGAGTTGAAACGCGATAAATTGCAAATTTATTCCAATGATTCTGACGATATTTGTGATAGATCGTGGTATCATGGGCTATTATTATCATCCTTCACTATATCGGTGACAAAAGTGATTTTATTCATGTAAACTTGATCTCTACAGTTACACTAATAAGTTCCTCTTACTAATTTATATTAACGGATATTTTTATTAAAAACTTGAGAGTTGACATTATTCTTCACGAATAAAAAAAAATGTAATAAAGATGAAAAAAGCTACGGCAGTACGCGGTTTTTCATGATCAAATAAAAACAGAATCGAATAAGAAACAAAAAGTAGTAAAAAAAACGTTCTTGAGTATGAATGGGGTGTGGGTGTGAGGTGGATATCAATGTGAATGCGGGTATGGCAGATGTTGACGAAAAGAATACTGATATCAGCACTCACACCCACATCTGAGCAATGCTCTCCTATAAAAATTTCAGAATCACCGAAAGATGGGAAGATTATATCTGTTAGCCGATGAGTTGATCTGTAAAGAACACTTTCCAGTATTTATTATTATTTACTTATAAGTAATCTTCACACTATCTCAAGATCTTTCATCCAATATGCTATCAAAATAATCGATTTTCTACAAATGAATCTTTGAATGAATATGTGGTTTTTCAAAATCCATACCTTGATTTTTCGTAAAAAAAATTTTTCGAAATTAATTTTACACAGAAAATAAATATCGAACATATTCTGAAAGAGACAAGTCTACTCTATAAAGCTCATATATATTTGTTGCAAAACAGTTCTTCTTGGACACGCAAAATGAAACAATCCGACCCATGTGTAGGTATCCAAAAAAGCAAATTATCGTAATTTTCATAACTTCAAAAATCACACTGGAATGAAAAGTAACCAGTTGAAAATGTTTGGAAACTTTCAAAATTTCAGAAATTTTGGCAATCACGGATATTCAAATAATTTTAGAAAACTTATAGAAGTTCTGAAGTAAGACACATAATAAAAAACAAACATTTGAAATTTTCGGAAATTTTATTTGGAAATTTGAACATTCTTGAATAATTCTTGGATATGATAGGTTCCTTTGTATGCATAATATTAAGTATGAAAGAAAAAAACGTAGCCTAGTGACAACCCTTTTCGTTTGCTGTCAGTAACTGTTGAGTGGGGTAATATCCCTCCCCTTGTAAAAATATCCTGGTTACACCACTATTTAGAATAATTTGAAAGGAACTCGGAAAAGAAGTGAAGTCGTTAAGTACTTTTCAGCAGCCAATTATCAAAAGCTCTTCGAGATATTCATGGCAATTAATCTTCATGTTCTCAAAAAGATAGGCAAAGAAGAAATATAAAGAGAAAATGGAAGACACAAGAAGAAGAAAACAGTAATAACTGAGACAAATGTGGACAACCTCTAACAGAGTTTCATGGTCGTCCTCCAGGTGTCGCATGCTTGGCTTCTAGTCAGTGCAGCAAATTCTATCATAATTGATTGAGAAGGCCAAATCAATGCTTACATAGAACTGCTGCTCAGAAGTACCATTATTTACAAAAAGTGATACCACCCGGTTATAGAGTTTATTTGTACCCTCCTCTTCTCTTTCTTTACTTTGAAATTCAATACAATCAAACATTTACTCAAAAATAACTCAGCAACTGTAATAAAATCCCTTTGGTATTTGATGATAAGCGTTTTTGTTTTTACTTTGCTACACTTACTTCTACTATATTCATGTTGACTGCATTGCGCGTCTTAGTCTTCTTCTGCACAATAGTGCTTTTTGCATCGTCGAACGGTGATGCAAGTAAGAATAGTTTCTTTTTTTTACCAAAATAATAAAAGAATAAACAGTAAGTTTATTGGGAAAAACACAATTTTTTTTTCTTGAATTGAAGCCTGAGCTGTATCATTGCTGCTCCTAATTAGTAAAAAAATCCAGTAGTATTTTAAAGGATACTAGATATTGAATTTTTGTATATGAACAGAAAGTATTATCATGCTAAAATTTTCTAGGTATTACGCATACTCAACTGAAAGCTATTATGCCTCGATGTAAACATCCAGAATATTTGAAAAATATCAATACTGCAATGAAAGAAGGCTCCATTAATACTTGTGCTCGAAAAGCAGCTTTTCTCGCTCAAATAGCACATGAAAGTGCTGAATTGGTCTATGTGGAAGAATTGGCTTCTGGTCAAGCATATGAAGGTCGAAAAGATCTTGGCAATACTCAAAAAGGAGATGGAAAACGATTTAAAGGTCGTGGTCCCATTCAACTGACAGGTCGAGCTAACTACAGAGCAGCTGGAAAAGCTTTAGGCTTGGATTTGGTGAATCATCCTGAAAGGGTCAAAACGCCTGAAGTCGGATTTCGAACGAGTGTATGGTTTTGAACAACACACAAATTGAATAAACTGGCAGATAAGAATACACTCACATCATTTCGAATGATCACTAAAAGAATCAATGGGGGTACGACCGGACAAGCTGATCGAGAAAAGTATTGGAATAGAGCCAAAAAAACGCTTGGATGTTGACTAAAAGAAAAAAAAGCGATAACTCGTTAATAATAAAATATTATTGATGCAAATAGTATCAAACCCAGCACATATGATGGTCTCAAAGAAAATAACTGTAAAACGCGGCGTAAATTTACTCGAGCAGTGGCTAGAATTTTTTTTCTAGTTACTTTGCATCTCTTCACGCCACATATTTCAATATTCGACAATATGTGATTGCAAAATAGTCTAAATTCAATTGAACGATGATTTGTTAGTTTGCATAAATTATATTCGTGGTGAAACAAGAAAGAAAAATAATTATAACTCGAAACTTTGAGTACTTGAGCTTCTTGTCACTTTTTAAGTGTACAATGCATCTAATTTTCAGAAGACAGATTTGATAGTTCTCTTGAGACACTCAATAGTACAACGCATATCGTACAGGTAAACGATATTGATCCACAGAATTTGACAATCGTGGAAGATGCAGTGCAGATCGAATCGTTTGCATTATACAAGGAGCCAATAGCTTGTCATCATTTGATAAATGTAATTAGTTTTATTTTTCTACATGAATATTTATCATTAGGATCACTAAATTCAGTCGACAAGATATAAATAAGCCATCATTGAAGAAGTTTCAATACATTTATTTAAATGTCACGTACTTTTTTTATGCTTTATTCAAGCAATGCATGTTCTTCAAGGTCTAATAAAATAAAATTTATGAAGTTAGAACACTTCAGATACAAAGACTAATACATGAGAGTGCTTTCATATGTTAAATAGGTACACTTTCTCTATTAATTCTAGCACAATATGTAACGTTATACAGATTGATTAGCAAACTGTTACAGAGAGAATTTTCAAAACATATACCAGTTCGAATATTTTGGCAGACAAAACAATCGACTAAGATAATTGGTGCTGAAAACTGTGATATTTTTCTAATTTGTTTGCCACATATATATGCAAACGACGCTGGCGAGTATTTTATTCTTGGTAGGTTTCGCCATTGAGCATTGGACGACGCTTATCCTCTATCAATTAACCATCTTCTCTTAAATTGACACTAGTACAGAAGATATTCTACTCTTCAATCTTTTTCTTTCGGTATTTTACCCTTTTGATCTTTTAATACTTTACTCAATGAATCGCATAATGGCTTCCGTATTCCTTCCTCTCATTGTTCTATAAAACATGTTTTGCGATACACGACAGCAAAAATAGATGCCATGCCATTTACTGTCGAACACCAATCACAGTGAGCAAAGAAGTGAAATGAAAGTTACGGCCTCTTTTCATCAATGGACAAAAAATATCGATGTAAACATGTATCAACACCATCAAAGAACCAATACCAGGTAGACAATCCTCTATTACATTGTGTCACGCAGAGTGGATGTGAGTGTAGGTATTAAATGATGAAGATTCACACCCACACCCATCGGTAGTGGTAGTGTAAAGATAAATATTCTTGCTTTTATTCAAAATCTATCTAGTCTTGAATTCGAAAATATATGTTTTAAAATATTCTGTAGATTATTATTCATATGCATAGTATTAGCGTTCACATGTTCTTTGTTCAGATGATTTTCTAGCTATTCTTGATTACGGCTGTTTTTTTTTGATTCTGTAAGACTGACGATTGTCACTATCACACTGGCATCATTTTATATAGTTTTATCGGTAATTCTATTGCATTACTTCTAATATCTATATGTACAGTTATTTACTACAAACACTATAAAGATCGACTATATGAAGAGTATAAAATCTTTTTTAATTTGACATATCAAAATATCATGGATCTAATCATTTTTCACTTTCATTCGATCCACAATCGATGAAAGTAACAGAATCAGAATTAGATGATGTTGGTATATTTACAATCGATGGAATTCACTCGTTTGAAACAAATCGAATAGGTTTGACAAAAACATAACCAATTGGATACAGGCGATCGATCGAAAAACTTAGGTCATCAAGTCACAATTCAATTGACATAGAATTCAGATAGTTATCAGTATAAAGACAAATGATACCTATAAACGGATTAATACCATGGTTAAAAAAATTTGAGATCAAACTGAGCAGGCAACAACAGCTATCAATGTACGATGAAGTATAAAGAAATTTGCAGATAATTTGATTGTGTTTATTTTTACTTTAGAAAACTTTGAAATCTCATAAACTTATTCAAGACATAAATGGCAATATGGCAAGTGAATCCAATCAACTAAACTTGTGGAAAGACATAGCATTTCAAAAAATACTATATTGAATAAATAAGATGCAATATTTTTGTTTACTTTTTTTCCTATCTACTGAGAATATTTATTCTTTTTGAGCAATCTTCTCATAAATGGAAATCACTATAACATATTGTTTTCCTTTTCGAATTATGATTTCAATCATACAATGTATATATGATGTATGAAAAAAGATCGAAATACATTTATATTGTAATCTGTTTCTGGAAAGTCAATAATAATTTATGTTAGACAGGAAAAAACGATATGTTGACGGCACACGTACTAGATTAGTAGAAATTATTTTATATGGTCATTTTAATAGTTGGTTACTGGAGTAATAAAGATAAAATATGCTTGTTTGAACGAATCATTAATAAGTATATATAAAATCTTAATTTCTTACAAACCGTTTAAAAAACCATGAGCATAATTTAGTTGAATTTTTTGCATTATAATGTGTCAGAGACGAATCATTCTTATTTTCTTCAAATCGTTCAGAAATAATCAGATCAATGAGATAGCACGCTAGTATAATTTTATACTTGAGTTACTATAAGTGACTCATGTAAAAGCATCATCTACTTAGTTAGGCTGAAAATACAAGCTTTATAATACATTATCTAACTAAGAATGAAGCAACTAATTCAATTTGCGTATGTATTATTTTACACTAATTAAATCTTATGCATTAGAAATATGTTGAGACGAAAGTTCTGCAATATGAATTTGCAACGAAATACTCGTCTACGCCAATACACTGACATGCAAAAAAATGATCGAAGAACGAATCACAATCATAAAAATATGCTAAAGCGCTCTCACTGGACGTATCGTGTGACCTTTTGACCGTTTAGAAGTATGGTAACCGCTGCATCATCATGTTTGCCTTTTTTCTCAACTTTTCTACTGTTATTATTCTCTATGAATTATCCTTTTTTTTTATACGTCCACTGTTCTCCTTTTCTCTCTCTCTCCCTCCTACACAAGATTGTGTCCGCTATGAGATAGACAACTAGAGTAGTGCGGTCAATATCTTTACCAACCGTGGAGATAATACTACTCGTCTAGTTTGCCATTTGTATTAAATAAAATATCCATAATTGTATTAACGAAATAGCACCGCATGAATCTATTCGAAAGAATCTTTTAATAAACCCAAACTGTTGTCAATACGAGATGTACATAAATAAATCAGTCTCATCGTACGCAGCGTTCACGATAAGGAGAAGTTACTTTTTCTCTCAATATGACTCCTTGTCATTATTCGCCTAAACTACGTATAACCTCTGTATATTTGCTGAAGTTTTTCTTTAATATTGAAAGAACGTTTTATTTTCTCTGAAGTGGTCATCGACACATCTACAGAGTACACAATATACTACTTGTTCATGTGAACTGTGTTCATAAAAAAGATGCACATTATGTCTTGTATTATTATAGGTCATCTACAAATACTCATATTATTTGGGAATATAAGCTACAAATTAAATTTGTTAACACTATTATGTATATCACTTTTCAGGTGCTTCTATTCATTGTCTATTCAACGATTTTGATTGATTGCCAAGGTGGTGGTGGTGGTGGTGGTGGTGGTGGAGGCGGAGGTGCAGGTGCTTTTATCGGCAGAGGTATTATTTTTCTTTTTATTGTGCATTGTCTACCGTTATTACTACAGACATATATTTTTACAATATTTTCTAATTTTTTATTTATATAATTACAATCCATTCCGATATATTATTTATTTCAGGTGGTTTTAGTGGTGGTAACTCTTGTATGACTGATGATTGTAAACGACATGCTAAGATCGTTCGAGATTGTGTTTTGGGTGGTTTTGTTGGATTTTTACTGCTATTGTTAAGTATATATTGGTGCTGCCTACGTCACCAAGGTCGACCACGTCAAGATAATTCCATCTTCATTAACTTAGGGAATCAAAATATCAACCAACAAGAAGCATATACACTTAATCCTTTTCAGTCCGGCATCTGGTCTAGTCGATATTTTCAATATGCAAAATGGCATGGACCTTATCATTTTCCACTTTCATTCGATTCACTATCGATGAAAGTAACAGGATCAGGATCAGATGATGTTGGCGTATTTATAATCGATGGAATTTATTCGTTTGACACAAATCGAATAGGTTTGACAAAAACATATCAATTAGATACAGGCGATCGATCCGAAAACTTAGGTCATCAAGTCATAATTCAACTAATATGGAATGCTCAAAATCGTCAATTCAATGGCAAATGGTATGTCAGAACGAGTCGATATATCGGCCAAGGTGCGTTTGAGCTCAAGTTCAACCAACAACAATAGTTCTCAATGTATGAGAATGTATGACAATAAAAAATACACTACGTAGTTTTTTCTCAAAATCCTATCAGTTTTCACTATTCTTTTGTGCCATTTTTCTATTGAGATTAAGTAGTAAAACACGTATTTATATTTAGTTTTACATATGTATACACTTAATTCTTTGTTTCATCAATAAATGTATGATTAATAAATAGAGATGTAAATCGACGGGTCGATTGTCAGCTGAATTTCTCAAATTGAACAATTCTTTAGATGATTAAAAATGTCTATATATTTCAAAAACCTAAATAAAACAATTGTATTTTGGAAGTTAGTTTAATATGGACATTATATTTAAGTAATTTTGAGATGCGCAATGTATTTCTAAACAACATTGTCCCCGAAGCTCAGAAGTCCAGTTCTCTTACGAATGGACAAAAGAAATTAATAGATAACAAGATGCTAAAAGATTGTTCGCTTATATGAAACTGTAAACACTACTCCTTTTTCGATTGAGAATGAACTATTATCTATTTCTTCAAATTTTTCTTTTTATAGAAGAAAATTTTGCAATAAATTCGTTTAGTATCTAATATGGCCTTTGCTCTTTTGTGCATATGATAACAACTGAATTATCGTTTCTGTGCGCTAAATAACTCTCGTCGAGTAAACAGGCTTTCACTGAAATTACAAACACCCATCATAAGAAGCGATAGATTCAGATACAAATAAAACTTGAACCATTGACATTAAATATAAGTGTTTTGTACTTTGATTATTTCTGCTACAAAGTTCACTATTCCTATATCAGCAGTAGAGGCAGCTGAAACTTTGTAAAAAATTTTCCTAGTAACGGCTGCGGCTAACACCTCTATTAATAAATCAAATATAGATCAAATGTAAAAATGCGATTCTATATTATATACTTCGAATGGTGTCTAAAGTCTAACTGAGATACAAGAAGTATAAGAAAATGTGTAAGGCACTAATAACATAGAACGATGCTTGGAGAAAATGCTCAATGACACTTTTCTACATAATAATTATTATTTTTTGACACGATGATGACAAAAGCTAAAAATTGTGAATAATTATACCTATACAAATTGAATATCCCGAATACGAATATATTTGCTGCCATTGTTTAGGTTTCAAAAAAAAAAGAGAAGAAAAAAGGATTTCGACTTCAGACATTATTCTACTAATATATACAGTATATAATAATGTTTTTTTTCTGTTTTTGTGAATTTGCAGTAATAATCATTCTGTTTTCAGAAAAGAGCTGTCGAAAATCACGAAGACTCGCTATGCCTAAGTCAATTCTTTACCAAAAATAGTAGAATCATATTTGCTTTCCATCTAGATGGTCACTTGATTCAACACTCTTTGTTTTCGACCATTTAGTAATAGTTACAAAGTTTTCTATGAAAACAGTTGAATCAAAAATATGCATAAAACATACAGGAAATATCTTAAAATTTTTTTAATTGACTAGTAGAAAAAACAAAACAAAAGCATTTCTCAAACATATCTATCTTTTGTAATGACCATTTTCTTTATCTAGCGAGTTGTGAGTGCTCTTCCTTGTCTTTAACGTACAAGCTGACGTGACAATTTCTTCTCTACATTATGTTTTCCCTTATGTAATAAATTCCCACACCATCGATAATGTCGCTCGTTGTTTGTATCTCAGGTACTCATGACGTATTTTTTCATAACAAAAAATGACAAAAAAAAACAACCTTTTTAATTCTTTTCATATGTTGTTTAGTCCTTTAGAGTTAAGCGTCTTACATGTTTTCTAAAAACTAATCTTTCGTTGACATATTCAAATAAAAAGACTTTCCTACGGATTATGTCGTGATATTTGCAATGACTTTATATTGCGCTTTGATGATCACATGTACACTGATATTGTTATTGATGTATTCTTGATCATGTACTTTTCTGCTTGTATTTGGTCTCTTTTATTTTCGACTGTCATTTGTTCTTATTGTTCTAATTTTAATATTAGAGGAATAACTGAGAAAAAATGGGAAATCATTCGCGATTTATTCTGTGACAATTTCCTCAAAGAAAGAGATTTAGGTGCATCGATTGCAGTTTATCATCAAGGCAAATTGGTTGTTGATTTATCGGGTGGATGGTTTGATGAATCACGCAATAAACCCTATGATAATGATACATTACAACTTGTCTTCTCAACATCAAAAGGTGTCGTGGCTGCAACTGTTGCTATTTATGTACAACGAGGTCTAATTGACTATTCAGAGTTCGTTACAACTTATTGGCCAGAATATGGGCAACATGGAAAGCAGAATACTACGGTAGCAGATATTCTTTCTCACCGTGTTGGATTACCAGACGATTGGACAGTTGGCGAACGATATCTTAATTGGACGGCGATGGTGCATTCATTAGAGCAACAGACACCAATAAAGCCTCCGGGAACAGCCTCTCGTTATCAACCTTATACATATGGTTGGTTAGCTGGGGAACTTGTACGACGCGTTGATCCTCAAAAGAGAACTTTTGGTCAGATTATTCAAGACGAAATAGCAAATAGACTAGATATTGAATTTTATATCGGTCTACCATCGGAACAACAATATCGTGTATCATCACACGTTCTAGATCGAAGCGTAATAACGACACCGAGTTGGTTAGTATTAATACCATTTCACTTTTTCAATGAACATCGAACACATCGATCAGAAATACCAGCTGTAAATGGAATTACCAATGCTCGATCAGTTGCACGACTCTATGCATCACTCATTAGTGACATTGAAGATGGAAAACACAAACGATTAATCAATGAGAAAATTATGCAGCGAGCAACAAGACAGAACACACCTCAAGATGAGATTGACGTGAACCTATTTCCTATTCCGTTTGGCATGGGTTTCATGCTTTACGATCAAATGTTTCCATCATTGGGTCCAGGAACATTTGGCCATCAAGGTAATGCTAGATTTGAATGTCAGGACTTTATTCCTTTGTTTTTTGTAGGAGCTGGTGGCAGTATTGGTTTCGTTTCTCCTGCAAAAAATCTTTCTTTTGCCTATGTTATGAATAAATTCAATTCAGAATCAACACCCAATACTGACTTCCGAATAAAGATGATATTAGAAAAGATTGCTACCATCGTCAATTCAAATGATTAACATCATTGTAGATGTCCATTCGATCTATGAAAGAAATAAAATATATTCTTTTTGTACAATAATAGGCAAATTATTTGACATCATCACAAACAATTCATCAGAAACAAAACTAAGAAAAAATAATCAATTTTTCCGTATTCTCAAAATCTTATGAAATGAAAGCACACTAATAGTATTCTGATGAGTTAATTTCGATAAATTAAGATCTTATCTATTTTGTGAACAAATAGTGTGAACATTTTTTAAATCTTATGATGCTATCTTGAACGAAAGAGATAATTCAGCTGAGCTTATGCATAATATTAAAACAATCTCTTTCCATAAAAATTTTATTTAAATTCAAATAGCTTTGTTATTTTCAAATCTCATTCTGATTGACAAAAGAAATACAATAAGTGTTGTAAATCGATATTAAATTAGAGAACAATATTTCCTGACACTGTGAGCAAATGATATTTTTTCTCTTTTCGAAATAATGATTTTTCTGAAGAATTTTATTTTTACATATTTTATGGTTATTGATATTGATCATGTTATCACTATGATAATATAATATAATGTAGTTGACTTAGCGCTAGCCTTGACTATCTTCACACCATAAAAATTACGATAAAAAAATACAAGAGTGCAATCTTGAACAGTGACTATGTTTGATATATGATAAAGCAGGATGATTTTTCTCATATTCCTTATCTCTAATAAATTATGAAACTATCTCATGGTATTGAGGTAATTTTTGAAAAAATTCTCGACGGTACACTTTTTAAGTAACAGTGAACAAATCGCGACATTGTTGAAGTAAGCATGAGCTCGTTAATAAATTTTCAAAAATACTTTGAATATTTTCACTATGGTTGGTAAAATGAATCTCTTGTTGCTTGCTACCCGATGAAGAATGTAATAGTTCAAGGTATCTATCATCCATAGTATATAATATCAAAGTGAGAGGAGATTATTTTTCATTATTCTATAACAAGGCATCAGTCATTAGTAAACTGAACATTATTTGCTTACTCTGGGGATGGAACATTTATATTAATTTAAAAACTAGACTTAAATTTATTACTTAGCAATTAATATTCGGTATTAATGGATATACTCAATGAGTAATATTAATATGCAGGTTTTCTTTTATTCAAAGCTTAATTTCTTGATGTTGAATGATAAAATAGTCTACTTGAAAGAAGTACTGTAGTGTGTTGACTTTTTTTTAATCGAGATACTGGTAAGAAATCGAGTTTTTTACTTTTTTTTAAAATCTACGTCTGAAAGATCATCATCTATACGAGGAGATCCAAATTTTTGAAGAGTTCACCCTTTCTACACTTGAGTTCGTTGAAAGGATGTCGGTTTGTATAATTGAAAATTTTCGACAAACAAAAAGAAAACATGGTTCATAAATATCCAGTAAGAATGAAGCTTATGCTTATACACAACAGGTTTGTTGAAATATCCTTATTATTGACAATATTGTTCAAACATAATAGGCTGTGTCTGTGAAAAGGCGTTGTGATTTCTATTCTTATATCTATTTCATCACTTTGTTCATAATAAGTATCCAAATAGAAACATTTTAAAATGTATTGAACATATTTTGTCACTAAAATAATATACTCATGATAGATTGTTCGCACAAATAGTAGCTATACACTTAGTCATTGAAAGAGTTTTTCTTCGTATTCAATACAATTCATTTATGCTATTATCTTCAACAATTTAGGAGAAGAGACAAAATTGAAACATGAACATTGACTTATAGTATAAATATTCATATTGCAAATAAATGCTGGTAGACTTTGAAATTTTTTCTGTGAACAAGTAGACCTTTTCGCACAGTAGAAGACTTCAAGTTCTTTATTCTGTCTTCCATATTTTTATAATTATCTACAAAAAATATTTTCCAAAATTCATAAATAGTTTCTTGAGACTTAAAATTTTTCGAAAGCTCAAATAACTTAGTGGATCTTCTATTAGTTCCAATGCATCGTTCCTTCAGTGAAGTCTTCTAATATGCAATGGTCTTCTATTGTAGAAAGAAATTCTGTAGATGTATATAAAAATAATAGTCATGTACTATTAGCATTTCTAGCCACGATTTACGAAAAATAACACTTTTTTTCGATCTTGATCCTTTCTACCTAGTGTAAACTTTGTCATTGTCAATCGAATATTACACCGTCGTGGAGGACAAAATTTCATAACTATATCAACTTGAGGCTATTTCGAAAGTATTCTCAATAAGGCAACATGTGATATCAAATCAAATACAATAGAAAAAGAGTCTGATTGAAAATTTTGTCTTCATATTTTATTTAGAGAGTATTCAAAGAAGAGTATAATCGAAGCATATTTGTCACCACTCTTCTTTACTGCTTAATTTTGTTTTTTAAAACTCAGTTGTAGATTCTTTAGATATTCTACAATTTTTGGTTATTTTTTTCTACTTCAACAAGATTATCTTTTAAATATGTATAAGTCTTTAAATAATTTTAATTATATGCAAGTCAAGTCTGTCCAACATCATCAAAGAGTAAAACTGCCCATGTTAAATGATTACCAACAAAGTATGAACCACCATCACCATATAATTTGCCTAAAACCTCAACATTTTACAAGTATGTCGATAATTCGTCGATGAAAAATTTTTTCATGACTTCATTTCGTTTCGTTTGATCTAATACCCAACGACTTACTACATATCTTGTCATTCAATCATTAATTGTATCAGCTACTGCATCAACTTTAGCTTGTTCAACATTATTTCTACTAGCTAATTGAAATTGTTTAGTTGACATAAAAAGAAAAAGAAATATTGATAATCTTATTCAAGTCATCTTGACATTTATTATCATTGTGATCAGAAATATATTCGATTAATCATCATTAATTCATAACAGTAAACTAAGTCGAGAAAGTATTGATCTGTTGCTTACGAGAGAACATTCCCAGGTGCCGGAGAGCTTTTGAGTCTGGACTTTGCGCATTTTATAGCCCTTAGTGAGCTGTGGCTATGGTAAAAAAAATTCGGGTTTCTGTCTTGTTTCTGGGGAGATGTCGAGTTTCTAGTGATTTTTTCTTATAGCACCCCACTTCTGCAGCAAAATTTTGTTTTTGAATTTTGACCTGAAACTTTGCCTACATAAAGGCCTCAGCTAGACTAGCTTGCATAAAAAATTTCAGAAGTTTTGGACAAAGTCTTTCCAAGATACGAAGATTTGAAAAAATGTATACTATATATACTATCTATGAAAAAGAGACTGTACCTTGATAGTTTCATAGCTCGGAGAAACTTTGTCCAAGACTTCTGAAATTTTTTTGTACAAGCTAGTCTAGCTGAGGCCTTTATGTGGGCAAAGTTTCAGGTCAAAATTCAAAAATATAGTTTTGCTGCAAAAGTGGGGTGCTACAGGAAAAAATCACTAGAAACTCGATATCTTCCCAGAAACAAGAGAGAAACTTGATTTTTTCTTACCATAGACACAGCTCACTAAGGGCTATAAAATGTGCAAAGTCCCGACTCAAAAGCTCTTCGGCACCTGGGAATGTTTCCTTGTTAGCATCTGTTCATCTTAGTTACTTATGTTTGAAAAGTTTATACGTGACAAAACATATGAAGAAAGAATATCAATTCAGCATTTGTTGAATGAAAGACATGCCTCTATTTAGCGCAACAAATTTAGTTGTTTCTTTACAATACTCTCATCATCTGTTCTTTTTGTTATATCAATATAAGTGAGGTTTTGATAAAACTAAACACGTTTACATTAAATCATTTGCTGCTGATGTGACGATCAAACAAATTTTTCGAAATGATGAGAAAACACCGATCGAAGCAGTCTATTGTTTTTCAATAGAAGAACAAGCAACAATTTACTCATTTGGTGCTCGAATTGATGATTGAGAAATCGTTGCACAGGTGGAATATAGTAACGCCCTTCAATACGGTCATGGCGCATATTTTCTTGAACAAGATGAGAAATCACAAGATAATTTTATTATCAATGTTGGTACATTACCAGTCGATAAAGAATGTCACATTTCTATATGGTGTGGGTGGGGGTGGGGGTGTAGGTGTGGGTGTGGGTGTGGGTGGGTGTGGGGTGTGGGTGTGGCTGGTGGCTACGTGTGGGTGTGAGTGTGGGGTGTGGGTGTGAGTGTGGGGTGTGGGTGGGTGTGGGGTGTGGGTGTGGGTGTGGGTGGGTATGGGTGGGTGTGGGTGTGGGTGTGGGTGTGAGTTATTTGTTCACCCAAACCCACACTCACACCCGCACCCAAACCCATACCCGCACCCACACCCATACCCACACCCACACCCAAATGGAGAAGACGAAAAATATTGTCAACTATTGGAAATGAGTGAGTGTCTCAATGATACATATCGATGCCATTATGGTGGACAATGCATTCCATTGACATTTGTACAAGATGGACCTACAAGTGCAGATTGTCTTGACGGTACGGATGAGATAGAATTATATGAAGAAGAGCTTTACCGTTCTAAAAGTGCTTGCTATACTTTTCCAACATTTTGTTGTGAAGAACATACTGGCCGACACCGTCGCTCTTTTCCATGTGGTGATGGACAATATGCTCTTTCTGATATTGGAAGTTTATCTGCTCAACGTTTTTGTGCCAATGGTCGAGATATGCTGGTGGCATCGTATCGAGTAAGACCTTTTCCTGATATATTCGACTCGCTTGTCGATCAAATTGCCTACTCCACATTGGTCTCGAACATAGACATTCTAAAACAACTATTAACTAATTCAATATCGACATATATGTTAATCCCTTGTGAATCTATAGGAAAAAAATGTTTAACAAATTGGCTTTTTAAAGTTGAAGTATACTATGCTTATTCAAAGTTTCACTATATTTATTTACCTAATCGATTATTCATAGATTTTGCTTTATTTATTAATCCTGATTTTATTTGTTTCAATCCTAAAGATTGTCCCGCACTGACGAACTGTGTCAGAGATATCGATCTAAAAAATGGA